AGTGAGACCGCGCGCGGGGTGCTGTCTCTTGATATGAGCCAGCGTTGACTCCAAATCGATTAGGCGACTCAAATCAAGGATTCAGGGGAATCAAGCATACTTGGAATCCGCAACTCAGCAAGCAAGCAAGCGTGCAAGCAAGCAAGCAAGCAAGCAAACGTGCAAGCGTGCAAGCAAGCAAGCGAGCAAGCAAGCAAGCAAGCAAGCTCAGAGGTGGTGCATGGGCATAGGCATAGGCATCGGCGTAGGCGTAGGCATAGGAGTTAGGGGGAGGCGTAGCCATAGCCATAGCCATAGGGATTAGGGGGGCATAGGAATTGGTGGGGGGGGGGGTGCAACGGACCAATTAGTAGAGAATGAGTCAGAACTGCTATAGGGCAAGCCTACTTGGAGAAAAACTAGGACCCACCACCACAGGATGGTTGGGAAAATCGCTCCGTACCGTCATCCTCAGACCTGGCCTGGGGCTTGGGGCCAGGTGCGGAAGAGGACAACTGGGCAGGAACGAGAGGAGGCAGAGGGGGAGCATCAGCAGCAGCGGCAGGAGGCTCCAACGGCAAGGGAGGAGGAGGGATGAGCTCGGCGACCCTGGGCCTGAGCTCCATTGGCGGGGGTTCATCAGATTCCCCCAGGGCGTCCTCACGGGGCCTCTTGCGGGGGCTTCCTTCGTCCCCGTCTTGGTTCCCTTTCAGGCGGTCCTCTGGAGGCGTATGGAGTCCCAAGGGGGGGCGGCCGCTCATTAGGGCAAGGACTTCCTCGCAGCCCACGTTCGGACGGCTCAGCCGACTCACGCTCGGCTGAGAGGGGGTCTCTATCCAATTGCGTCGCCGCGCTCTACAAGCTTCCGCTTTCATCCTAGCTAGGCCACGTCGGGTCCTTGCGAAGCGAGGACACACTAGGCAGCGCGGGCCAGTCTTCTGCTGTGTGGGGGGGTGGGCCTGCTCAGTCGGCCCCGTGCGGGAGCCTCGGCCCGCGAGGCGTCGGGCGCGTCGGCGCCCTAGCGGGGCGCGGCCGCCGACGGCAGCGGCAGCTGCGCCAGCGCTTCGGGCTCCACGTCGCCGGTCGCGCTGGTGACGCGCCATCGGCAGGTCACGGTCGGCCCCCCCTTTGGCTTCCATGATCTCTTGCGTATTTCCGATCCACGAGGCTGCCTGGCGGACGCGCTCCAGGAGCCTGCCGTGCTCGTCCGCGGCATCCTGCGAGAGCGCGTGCTTCGCCAGGCCGCGCTCGGCGGCCCCGTCCGCCCAGTCGTTGCCTCGCTTGCCCTTCCTCTAGAGGCCCTCCTCAACGGTCCGATGGACCTTGCCGCACGCGCAGGTAAGGAGATCCCTTGGTCCTCCTTGATCGTCTATCGCCACCCACGGGCGCTCCCAGAGGTCACGATTCTGGCGTTGCGGCTTGAGACATCATTCTCAATTGTCGCGAATCCCAGTGGTGACACATGCAGCCCGTGTGGATGTGCATCGGAAGGATGTCATTCTTCAACACCATGAGCACCGCAACTACTTCAGCTCTTAGTGCTGACTGTTGAACCCCAGGTAAAGGTTCATTAGCAATCCCTTTGAATCGCCGCCCTTCCATCAGGGCCAATCCCCAATTCAGCACGGCATCCTTCATACCACCCAGCCAATGTGAGCTCGATACGTCGGTGTATATCTAACCCGTGATCTGCTGCAGCTGGCCGTCGCAGGCGTCGCACCAGGTTTCATGTATGCATGGTGGTTGGGCCTGTGGTTGGGCGTCCCCTGAGAGGAGGCCTCGCGTGTACAGCACATCGTTGGTCGGGACGTGTCGCGTTGCCTCCACAGTCTCCGGCGAAACTGCCATCATACGTTCCTGCGTCAGCGAAAGGTCGCACCATAGCCTGTGGGGCAATGTACCATCGCAGTCCTGGCAAATAAAACATGCGGCAGTGTCAGCATATCCACCTTTGTGTTGTCGCGCCTGGGACCATTGCCCTCTGATCATAGCGATGCGTAGAGCTGCACGAGCGCGCAAGGTAAGGCGCCACAGGCGACTCTGCTCGCGCGGGGCAAGAAGTACACGGAGTGGGGCCAGCCAGTATCCAGAGCATGATCGCCCTGGTGTATCGGACTATGGTGTGTGCTCCAGCCGGGCAGCCAATTACTCCCGGCAAGCATCATCATAAACACGTCTCGCCAGCGTTTTTATCCATTCAGGCGAAGTTCATGGAATATCAATTCGACCATATTGGCAGTGGTCCAGCAAAGCGGTGTATGACCTCGCCATCGCAACTGACCAAATCTACGCATCACCGCAACAGCAGGGCCTGCCACGCCCTTGTCATGTGTAAACTCCCGTCCACTGGCTGTCCTCAGTAGCGGCTGCCTCGGACGCCCAGCTGGCTTTGCAGGCTCGGGGGGCGGACCGGGAGCATCTCGCCAAGAATATTCAGCCACAGCAGGCGGCTGTCGCCGAGGCCGAGGCTTCGGTGGCCAAGGCGACTGCGGAGCTTGCGGCCCTGGCGACCCAGTTCGCCTCGGAGAGGGCGCCTGCTGCTGCGGCCGCCGCCGCCCCCAGTGAGCCGGCCGCAGTGCGGCTGCCAGCCGACGCCACTGCCGGCTACGTGGCCGTCACGTACGCCGAGGAGAAATGGCGCGAGCGTTAGGCCCAGTTTGAACGGCAACTGGCCCATCTCTAGGCGCTGGTGGCTGCTCAGACCGAAAGCGCTATTGCAGCTTGGGAGGGAGCTCCGAGCGTGGCGGACGACCTCGCTTCCGTCGACGACCTCGCCGGCGACGACGACAAGTGGAACCAGGTCGGCCGCACCAAACGGAAAGCGCTCCTCCGTAGGGAGCGTGATGCCCTGGCCGGCAAGATCTGGACGAGTGGTGTCCACCGTCTCGTCGCCCTCTGCCAAGAGGTAGGCGACCCGCGCGGTGGAGCCTGATCCTCTTCTTCGCGGCCGTTGTCCGCATTGGCGACGCGGCTCACCCTGGCCCGGCCCTCCCGGGCATCGGTGATGAGGAGTGGGATTTTGATGCGGCCGTCGATGAGGCGACCTCTACCACCGCGGACGTCCTGGACCCCGTCCCTGAGCCTCCAGACGGCCTGTTTGCCGCCCATGTGCTCCAGGGCGCCGTCCCTGTCGACGCGCCTTTCACGGCCAACCAGCTGGCCGCATGGCGACAGGCGGAGGAGACGTTGTGCATCGGTCCGCCACCTCCTGCCGTTCAGCAGGTCCGCCGCCGTCGTCGTGTTGATCTCTGCGACACCGATTTTGGTCCCGAGGTCAGCGTGGCCCCAGCAGTTCTGCGGATCCCGCTCGGGATTTATTTTGGCGTTTCCGGCGGCACATTGGGCTATCAGCGAGACCGTGGTGGACTCGTTCAGCAGCCGCTTGCTGGTGCAGCGACTGGTCGGCAGACGGACCCGGCGGTGTGCACGGTCTCCCTGGCGCGCTTGATTGACTGGCAGCCGCAGGACGCCCGCGGTCGCCACCGCCGCGCCCGTCGCCGTCGCGCCCCTGATGGCCGTCGCGTCCGCCCTGGCCAGCGCGCCGCCTCCTCTGGAGGCAATCTCCCGCAGCCGCGCGCGCAGGTCGGCATTGAGGACCCGCATCTCCGTAACCGTCGAGCGTGGACCATCGACACGACGAATGCCAGCTGTTGGGACACATGCCTCAACCAGGTCGTTCACCGGACCTCTGCTGATGCGCTGTTGGTCCAGGAGCACAAGATCCACACCGAGCTCCGGGTGGAGTCCGCTCATTGGGCAGCGAAGACAGCAGGTTGGAGATCGCAGCTCGGCCTTGCGCACTCCACCGCGTTGGATCGCGCCTCTGGCGGCGTTGGCGTCCTCTGCCGTCGGCGCATCGGGTTTCACCCGCATGCGGGTCTCGTGGCGCACGGTTTGCAGCGTCGGTTGCAGGCCGCTTGGCTGGGTGCTGTCATGAAGGGCGGCCTCCACTTCTGCAGCATCTGCCCCTTCCACAGCCAGGGCGTGTCGCAGCCCAACTTGCACATCCTCGCGGAGGCTGCTGCGCTGCTCGGAACCTTATCGGGGCCGTGGGTGATCGCTGGGGATTGGAATATCACGCCCGACGTGCTCACGGCTACTGGCTGGCTGGACGTCGTCAAGGGCCGCATCATCTCGCCCGATTCTCCCACGTGAAATGGCTCCACATACGACTTCTTCGTGGTCAGTCGGAGCATTGCGCAAGCTGTTCTGGGTGTCAGTCGCGTCGACGACGGCGGCTTCACGCCGCACTTTCCGACCAGGCTGTACCTGGCCTGCGATGCTCGCCGCAAGGTTGTCCGCCGCTTAGTTCGGCCTCGACGAGTCGATGGGCCCTCTCTGCAGGCCCCCTGCTGGATCCTGCGCCGGGCGACTGGGACGACACTGTTGACGTTGCGCAGCTGGCAGGCCGTCGGCAACTGGCATCGCGCGGCACGCAGAACTTTCTCTTCGCTCTCTGGATTGCCTGAGCCGCGGTTTTGGCCGTGGTTCCGCTGGGAACCCGCCGCTGGGCAGCTTGCCCGGCGGCGCGCCGGCGCTTCCGTGGTCGCTGTTGCACGGCGGGAGTGCTCTGCGAGGGCGTTCGAGGTCGCCGCCTTCCCCGGGCGACCGCAGCCCGAAGCTGCCGACGAGCTGCTGCTTGCACGCCATGCCCAGCGGGCGGGTCGGGCCCCCTGCGAGGCTCCTGAGGCCATGCGCGCCTGGGCGGCAGCTTTCGGCCATGCGCGGCAGCCCCGGGGCCCCGCCGCCCCGCGCTCTCTCGCCGCCGAGGCCGCCGAGCATGCCCAGTGCATCGAGAGGGCTGTCTCGAGCGCGCGCCTGGCCAGCTGCCGCGGCGCCCTCGCAGCCCCTGGCGGCTCGCGTGCTGCCCTGCCGTCGGCCTCCGCCCCAGGGAAGCACGCCTTCCGTTATTTCTGCGGCATCGGCGGCTGGTCGCGATCACCAGCCGGGGAGCCCTGGGGCGACGAGGACAGCCCCGATGCGGACGATATGGATCCCGAGCCTCCTGCAGACCGGCGTCGATGGATGCTCGCAGCCATGCTGCCGTGGCGCCGCTCTCCGAGCAGTCCGCGCTCGACGTTGAGGCCGCCAGCTGGGCTGAGCAATGGGCAGTCCAGGAGGTATGCCATGAGCTGTTCTTCCCAGAACATATGCTGTCTGCGCCTCAGCCAATCACGCTGTGGGCCTTGGACCAGGCCATTGCGTCCTTCCCCGTCCGCGCTGGCCTCGGGGCTCACCGCCTGGCAACGCGGGCCATCCAGCGGCTCCCCATCGCGGCCCGCATGCTGCTCATCCACATCCTGCTTGCCGCGGAGTGGCTGGGTGGGTGGACGGCCGCTTGCAACCTGGTGCTGATCGTTTTACTGCCCAAGCTGTATGGCGCGGGTTGCGACCCATCGGCCTCTTCCCCACTCTTCCGCGCGCGGATGCGCACGAGAGCCTCCGCAGCCCCGGCATGGGAAGCAGCTCGTGCACTCCCATCGGCGTTCGGCAGCGCTGGTCGCGGGGCGCAGCGCGCGGCCTGGGCAGCCGCCTTTGCCGCCGAGGCCTCGGCGACCTCCGCGCACCAGCACGTCGCCTCCCTCCTGGATCTGGTGGGGGTTCTCGAACCAGTGCCGCGCCGCCTCGTGGCTGCGGCCGCGGCGCGTTTATGCTTCGACTTAATCGCCCTTCGCCCGTCACTGGCAGCCTACCGCTTGGCCCGGGCCATCGGTGTGGAAGGGGCATTTTCGCGTTTGCTCATCGCCGCCCGCGGCCTCACAGCGGGATCTGTTCTTCGCCACGCTCGAGCTCCAGATGCTGTTGCACGAGTCCGTGCTCATTGCGTCCCGGCGGTGGCACTCATTGCGCCTTTACCTGTGCGTAGACGACCTGACCATCGTTGCCTCCGACTTCTCTGAGGAAGCGCTTGTAGCTGTGGCGCGTGGCACAAGCTTCTTTGTGGGCATGTTCGGGCGCTGCCTCAAGCTCGCGGTCTCGGCGTCGAAGTCGTTCGCGGTCGCGTCGAGGCCGAGCCTGGCGGCCAGTCTGTCCCGCATGTTCCAGCGACGCCTCTTGGTGCCGAAGTGCAGCGTGAAGATGCTGGGCACGGCTTATGCCGGCGGTCGCGCACGGGCTGTTGGCGTCTTCAAGGCGCGCCTCAAACAGTTCAAAATACGCATTCCCAGAGTTCATGCTCTGCGCCGCCACCGCGTGGACACCGCCCGGGTGGTGAAGGCCATCGGGGGCCCCTGCATGCTGCGCGGCATGGACATCATTGGCGCGTCCAGTACGCATCAGCACAGCGTGCGCGTCGCAGCCCTTTGCGCCGCTCTGCCGCCTGGCACGAGCCGCAACGTCGACGTAGCCTTCGCTGTTCTGGATGCCGGAGGCGCCGCATTGGATCCAGCGTATGCTGCGCGCGCCACGCCCCTCCGTCACTGGGGCGTGGCGCACTGGCAGGAGTGGGCACCCGCGCCAGAGCCCGACCACGCTTTCGACGAGTCTGGGACCCGCCAGGAGAAGGTTGAGGTGACTGGCAGGTCGCCGTGATCCGCCGTTTCTGGCCCTTCGGCAGCTGTTATCGCCTCGGCACGGCGCCTCGGCTGGACAGTCTCCACCCCGCGGCGACTCCTGGACGACGCTGGCGAGACGGTTCACTTCTTCCTCGTGCCCCCCGCCATGGCGTCGGCAGCCGTCCACAGGTCCGTCGACAGATGGCGGACCAAGCGCGTGATCTCCATGCTCCCGTCCATCGCCGCCAGCAAGCCGGACCTGCCGACCGACGCAGGCGCGGACGCCCTCGCGGGCCTCGCGGGGCGCCCCTGGGCGCGGCTGTGCAAGGGCCAGGGGCGCCCACCAGCACCGCGCCGCAGCGGTCGGCCCCGTGCCGCTCGATGCTTCTGTCTGCTGCCACTGACGTTAAGTCGGGCCTGTCCCCCTTCAGGGGGATTTTGGAGGAACATGATCGACCCATGAACCCGGAAAGGAATATGGAAATGTAAGGCATGGCGGCGTTTCAAAGACACCTGATTGGGCGACGGGCAAATGCAATGTTGAATGTATCGATTTTGATGTACCGTGCCGAGGCTTGTGCTGTGCTGCGCCGTGCTGATGCTGAACTGCGATGTGCCATACCGCGAATGTGCTCTATAGCGTTGTGGATCGAGCTCCTTGGCACCCGAGTCCTGACCGAACTGATCTGGATCTTAAGCTCGAGCTGTCTCAGCACATAGTAGCTGCCCCAGAGCTAATTGACAGGGGAACATGCCAGGAGGACCCGCCGCGGAACGTCCCAAGGGACTCGCCAGGCGACGTGCCAAAGGACGTGCCACGAAGACGCACCGCGGGACGTGCCAGGGGACGCGCTACGGAAAGTGCCAATGGACGTGCCAATGGACGTGCCAGGAGACGCGCCGCGCGACGTGCCAGGGGGACTCGCCACAGGACGCGCCACGGAACGTGCCAGGTTGCAATGCTGAGTGTACCGATCTTGATGTACCGTGCCGAGGCCTGTGCTGTGCTGCGCTGTGCTGAACTGCGATGTGCCATGCCGCGATTGTGCTCTATAGCGTTGTGGATCGAGTCCTCCTTTGCACCCGAGTCTTGACCGAACGGATCTGGATCTTACGCTCGAGCTGCCTCCGCACATAGTAGCTGCCCCAGAGCTAATTGACAGGGGGACATGCCAGGAGGACGCGCCGCGGAACGTCCCAAGGGACGCGCCAGGCGACGTGCCAGGGGACGTGCCACGGGGACGCACCGCGGGACGTGCCGAGGGGACGCGCTACGGAACGTGCCAATGGACGTGCACCGCGCGACGTGCCAGGGGGACTTGCCACGGGACGCTCCGCGGAACGTGCCAGGCAACATGCCAGACTGCAATGGGGCATCGATATTGATGTACCGTGCCGAGGGCTGTGCTGTGCCTGGGCGACCTGGACACTTGAAAACACGCGTTTCGCGCAAGACGTTCTCAGCACATCCTCATGCTAGACATCCGCCTGGGCAACCTGGACACGTGCAAACAAGCGTCTCGATCGAGACTTTCTCGACACATCCTCATGCTAGACATCCGCCTGGGTGACCTGGACACGTGAAAACAAGCCTCTGGTTCGAGACATCTTCAACAAATCCTCATGCTAGACATCTGTCTGGGCAATCTGGAGGCGTGAAAGCAAACGTCTCGCTCGAGACATCCTCAAGACCAGGGCACGGGAAAACAAGCATTTTACTTGAGAGATCGTCTGAATTCAGGTCCCCAGGAGAGGACAAACTATATAACACATAACAAGCGTTTCGCTCGAGACATCCTCAACAAATTCTGAAACATGATCGACCCACGAACCCGGAAAGGAATATAGAAATGTAGAACATGGCAACGTTTCAAAGACACCTGATTGGGCGACGGGCAAATGCAATGCTTAGTGTATCGTTCTTGATATACCGTGCCGAGGGCTGTGTTGTGCAGCGCCGTGCTGAATTGCGATGTGCCATGCCGCGATTGTGCCCTGTAGCGTTGTGGATCGAGTCCTCCTTTGCATCCGAGTCCTGACCGAACTGATCTGGATCTTGAGCTCGAGCTGTCCTAGCACATAGTAGCTGTCCCAGAGCTAATTGACAGGGGGACATGCTAGGAGGACCCGCCGCGGAACGTCCCAAGGGACGGGCCAGGCGACGTGCCAGGGGACGTGCCACGGAGACGCGCCGCGGGACGTGCCAAGGGGACGCGCTACGGAACGTGCCAATGGACGTGCCACGGAACGTGCCAGGGGACGCGCCGCCCGACGTGCCAGGGGGACTCGCCACGGGACGCGCCACGGAACGTGCCAAGGAACGTGCCAGGTTGCAATGCTGAGTGTATCGATCTTGATGTACCGTGCCGAGGGCTGTGCTGTGCCGAGCCGAGCTGAACTGCGATGTGCCATGCCGCGAGTGTGCCCTATAACATTGTGGATCGAGTCCGCCTTTGCATCCGAGTCCTGACCGAACTGATCTGGATCTTAAGCTCGAGCTGCCCTAGCACATAGTAGCTGCCCCTGAGCTAATTGACAGGGGAACATGCCAGGAGGACGCGCCGCGGGACGCTCCAAGGGACGCGCCAAGCGACGTGCCAGGGGACGCGCCGCGCGACGTGCCAGGGGGAATCGCCACGGGACGCGCCACGGAACGTGCCAGGTTGCAATGCTGAGTGTACCGATCTTGATGTACCGTGCCGAAGGCAGTGCTGTGCTGCGCCGTGCTGAACTGCAATGTGCCATGCCACGACTGTGCTCTATAGCGTTGTGGATCGAGCCCTCCTTGGCATCCGAGTCCTAACCGAACTGATCTGGATCTTAAGCTCAAGCTGCCTGAACACATAACTAGTAGCTGCCAGGGGAACATGCCAGGAGGACGCGCCGCGGGACGTACCAAGGCACGCGCCAGGCGATGTGCCAGGGGACGTGCCACGTGGACGCACCGCGGGACGTGCCAAGGGGACGCGCTACGGAACGTGCCAGTGGACGTGCCACGGGACATTCCAGGGGACGCGCCGCGCGACGTGCCAGGGGGACTCGCCACAGGACGCGCCACGGAATGTGCCATGGAGCGTTCCAAATTGCAGTGCTGAATGAGTGTATCGATCTTGATGTACCGTGCCGAGGGCTGTGCTGTGCTGAGCCGTGCTGAACTGCGATGTGCCTTGCCGCGATTGTGCTCTATAATGTTGTGGATCGAGTCCTCCGTTGCATCCGAGTCCTGACCGAACTGATCTGGATCTTAAGCTCGAGCTGCCTGATAACATAGTCCACATAGTAGCTGCCCCAGAGCTATTTGCCAAGGGAACATGCCAGGAGGACGCGCCGCTGAACGTTCCAAGGGACGCGCCAGGCGACGTGCCAGGGGACGTGCCACGGGGACGCACCGCGGGACGTGCCAAGGGGACGGGCTACAGAACGTGCTGGGGACAAGCGTCGTGCTAGTTGCCTGGACACGTAAAACACGGTGCCAGCTCGGGACAACCATGTTCGATACCCCCTGGGTGGCCTGGACACGTAAAAACACGTGGTTCCAGCTCGGGACAATCATGTTAGATATCTCCTTGGGTGGCATGAACATGAAAAAAACACTTTGTTCCAGCTCGGGAAAGCCATGTTAGATACCTCCCTGCGTGAACTAAATACGCTAAATTCGCGCTCCCGCTCGAGAAATCCTCGCAATGTCTTCTTCCCTGCAGAAGCCACCAAATCGCGACCCCTTGTTCAGAGCAAGAAACCATGACTTTTCTGTATTGGGACATGTGTTCGGGTAGCACTTTTCGCCCCCCCGCGCGTTTCCTCATAACTCGGCGTTCGGCTCGACGCCACGTTAGATATCCCAACTCTGCAAAACTAGCGTTTCGCTGGAGACATCCTCAACAGATTGTGAAAAACAAGCGTTTCGCTCGAGACATCCACCAACTCTGCAAAATCAGCGTTTCGCTCGAGACATCCTCAACAGTTTTTGAAAACCAAGTGTTTCGCTCGAGACATCCCCCAACTCTGCAAAACCAGCGTTTCGCACGAGACATCCTCAACAAATTCTGATACATAAGCGTTTCGCTCGAGACATCCTCGAAAATAATTCCGCTGGCCCTCTTCCCGCACGTAATTTATCGCAGAATAATTCCGCCAGCCCTCTTCCCGTCGATTCCGGGGGCGAACTTCTAAAAGAGAACCTTGGGCCCGAGCCCTTTCCGGGAATCCAAGCGTTTCGCTAGGGACATCCTGGCATGTTAATTCGTCGGCCCTCTTCCCATTCATTATTTATCGCAAAAGAAACCTGACCGGACAAGAACGGGAAGCGTCGCTTGAGTCCACCAAGCATGTGGAAAATGCTCTGTTGTTGTTATGCCGCGCAGGTATGCCGTGGCGCGCGTGTCGGCGTGCGTGCGGGGTGTGTTTTGCTGTGTTCCTGTGTGTTCTGCCGTGCTCCTGTTCCGCCGTGCTTCTGTGTTCTACCGTGCCTCTGCGTGCTCTGTGTGTTCTGCCGTGTTCCTGTATCTGCCGTGCGGATCGTCGCGGTGGTCGTTTTGGCAGAGCTTCTGGGCGCACACGGCAGAAAAAGATCAGGAGCACGGCAGAATAGGCCCAAAGAGCGAAGGAGCACGGCAGAGAAAGACAAGGAACGTGGCAGAATAGACCCCAAGAGCAAATCACGGCAGAATAGGCCCCAAGAGCGAAGGAGCACGGCAGAAAAAAAACAGAAGCACGCCAGAGTAGACCCCGGGAGCTGAAGGAGTGCGGGAAAATAGACCCCAAGAACGAAGGAGCAAACCATCCGTAGCCATTTTGGCTCAAGCCAGCTGGGCAGGAGCAGCTTCTTCAGCTGGTCCAGAGGTGGTCTGCCCAGGCCAGGACTCAGCAGCTTGCTCGCATTTCTCTATTCCTTTCCTTTCTCCCACTGCACAGCGGCCGCCATGCCTGCCGCCGACAGGACCCGATCATCGGACTCGACGGGAAGCAGTGAATCCAGGCGCAGGGACTCCTCGTCCCGCAGCCGCTCTGGCCGCTCGGATCCTGGCCGCTCCGTTG